AAAGTTCAACAAATTATTACATCAATTGAAAGTAATTAATGGAAGAAGAGCCTCTCAAGGACTGCTAAATGCAAAGACGAGGCTACAGCTGGTGGCTTAGCAATTCCCCGAACTGTAGATGCCCAAGGTATCTGCCTGCATCTGGGAGGTATACTCGGAGAAATCACATTTCCTGTATTATTTAACTTTTTCCCTAGCAATCTGCTACTTGCTACTGTCAGGCACAAGAGCAGATAGATAAACCTTTGGTTTAATTCAGCATGGCCATTCTTCACAGATAAAATTTGCCTTGTTCAAATACTGAATTTTTGCATATTATGTCACCGGAAGCATCTACGAGTTACTCTATGCTGTGAGGATTATCAGCAATCAGGCAGCCTGCACTGACACTTTGCCAAACAGAGGTGATGAAAGAATCTAAGGAAAAGTGAAAGAGCAGTTGTGTTTGCTATTCAAGGAGTTTTCTTGAAACAGATTCTATGCCTGAAAGCCAGTCAGCCATAACTACCTCAAATCTTTTTCTTGTCTGCAAAACATTAGCCATTTTCTGCACTGACTGCATTCTGCAGCTTCTCACAGTCTAACCCATCACATAGCTTTTCGAGACCCATGATGCTTTTTAAAGAATTCATGTTTCTACTCCAGCTACACAGAACTGCTGCTCCACTGCAATCACGATCACTCTGCAGAAATGCAAACACTAACTGTTCTTTATACCTTATCGGCAAGGGGCGGGGGAGTGAGTAATAAAAACATGTAGGTGTCAAACCAAAAGCCATTTTTTTAAATTCGCATCTGCCTTGACTGCCTCTTGGTCCTCTCCTCACTCTGATTCCCACCCAAGCACTGTTGCAGACAATACTATACCAACAAAAAAAACAGCTAACATGCATATTAGTCCATAATTTGTGTCTCACTCACCATAAGCACTACAAATAATATGTAAAATGACTAGCTAAAGTATTTGCCTACTCTTCAGTATGATATAAACTGCAAGAAAAAGTGCAATATCAAAGTAAAGCACTAAGTAGATACCCATCTTCAGTATTCAAAATTCATCTTCCACCCTTTTGGGAAAGTTGGGATGTTTCTAAGGAATATGCATGCATGCAGACACCACAAAGAAATGAATAATTACACAACAAAATGCAGCATCTGTAAGAGTATTCTCTCAGGGAGTTTCCAGTGCATGAGGCCAAATACAAATCTAGTTCACTGGATTTTCTCTGTAAAGAGTGCCTTTTATTTCTGCGTTTCTCGCATTGGGCAGGTGTAATTCTATTTGGATGTAAACACCCTTTTACCATTTGCAATTGCGTTCTGCAGTTAAGGTGCTTTCAGCCCGGGTTAGACTTACACCCCTTTAATGTGCAACTTTAGAACCCACCAAGCTCCTTCAAGACTTTTGACAAGTTAGCTGAGGCACAAAGCAGCTCTTGAATACCATTAAGAATCACCTTCTCATAAAGTTACCGAATAAATATACACACACACACATATATATATTTATAAATCTACTGAATACATTACATGATATCATTGCCTTAATTGTGAGGCACAGAGCCTTGTGATGCAGGATGCTCCTTCTGATCCTCTATTTATTCCATTGCAGGACTCACCAGAGGGTGCTGTTAGGCAAGCTCACTCTTTCAGCACAGAAAGGCAATCTGCCAAAACTCCCTTAGTAGGTGAAACACTAGTCTGTGACTTGCTCTGCATTGCCTGGCCTCTCTTTTTGCCAGTGCCCTCCTCTGCCTACAGCTCAGCAGCCCTACCTGCCTATCCCAAGCTCCCCTCAGGAGAGCTAAAAAGGGGCTTGTTCCCACCTCCTTTCTTCCTTCTTTGCCTCACAGCAGTGCCTCCTTGTGTCTGCACCTGCCTGACTAGAGCAGGCCTGCTGACTCAAAACATGGGGGGAAAGGGAGAAGCACTAGAGGGGCCAGATGCCCTAGCATTACTGCCACTTCAGCTGCCATCCCAGCGACAAAACCCTCTAGCAAGCACCTCTTCATTGACGCATGAAATCAGACTGACCAGAAGTGGTGAGGGAGCTACAAGGGGCTGAAAAACAGGCTGAGGGACATCACGTTGCAGCACAGAGCACTCCGACAGCTTTTGCATCTCTTGGCTGAGACGTCTAAAGTATTGCAATACTTGGTGGTACCACAATACGTGCTTTTGTACATAATGAGTACCGCTAAGCATAAATTATTTTAGTAACAGTTACAATGTTATCCCTTTTCTGTGATAGTAGTACTACTTCTTTTGTGATACTATTTCTTCAGGGAGAGCTCTGGCAAACAGCAGTATAATCAAAAGTCTAATTCTAGCAAATTCTTGAGGCAGAATCATCTCTTCACAAGCCAGTGCAAATGTTCAAAATGTTATCTGAAAAGCATCTGCACATATGGTTTAGTTGACAATCCTGAGTCAAGCTCTGTCACTGGGCTCATCCACTAGCGGCTACTAATGGAAACAAGATCCTGGACTAGATGAAAAACGGGTCTGCCCCAGAATAACTATTCTTACATATTGTGCAAAGGAAATTAATAATACAAACTGGCCAACAGAACAATGATTTTCTTCATCACTTAAACTGGCTCTGATGGAATGCTGAGCTGCAGGGCCACTAGCATCTGCCATTGCTTGCCAAGACACTAGACACACTACTGAAAGCTATCCAGTTGTACCAGGCAGTGTAAAAATACAGTGAGCAGTCGTATTGATCCCAGAAAGCTTGTTTTCTAAACAGAGCACTTTTCAGACCCAGAATGGTAGAAAAGAACGGAGGAGGAAAGAAATAAATTGTGCAGTGGATGACCTTTTAGCTTTTGCTTTCGGGGACTTTTATTTGTTTGTCACATAAGACAAGTAATGTTGGAATCAAGTAATCAGATTTTTGCAGGTCAGCCCTGAAAGGAGCATAATTGCAGAGTAAGCTTCCTTTCAGTACAGAATTCAACCTGAAGACACCTAGCAAATTAACAAAAATTAACTTTATAGCTTAAAAAAAAAAAAAAAAAGACCCTCCTATTACGCTGCTAATTTTTTTTCTGGGATACTAAAAAGACTGTAGAAAGAAAGGGAGTGCCTCACATTAGAGCTGTAAAGAAACATGGGCTCTCTTTGAGCTTGGGACAAAAGGCTGGGATGAAAGATTCGCTCAGAACAAACAGGTCTGAGTCTGTTGCAGGAAGACTGAAAAATTCGGCTGGCATAAAGCAAAACAACTGAGAGAAGAACTATAAGTACCTGCTCCCCTAAAAGGACTTCTGAGCAACTGAATCTTAGCTGTCTTTGTCAAAGCCTCCCCCGGCCATTTTGTGTCCAAGAAAATTTCCAGCACACTTTCATTTAAAACAGTTTATGCAGCACTTTTAAAGCCAAAGTCTCTACAGATTACACAGAAATTACTTCAGCTTCCACAAAATGCAAAAATACATTCAATTAATTTCCGAGATTGTTCCCTTCCACTGAAAAAAGAATAGCTAATGCTATACTAATGTGCTCAACCTTTTGCTAGCCAAAAATTATTTTGTCCTGTATGCTTGTCATACACTAAATGCTGACTTTCAGAGCAATCATATGAGCTGAATATAAGCATCATTTATGTACTTACAATTCACCAAAACACCTCAGTACTGACTGTGAAAAGAATGATAATTGTAAACATCATCATGCATTTTACAGAATTAATAGGAAAATGTTTGTGCATGGCAGGATAAACAGAGCAAAGGTCACCTGAAGGTCTACTATACTTCATGGAGAAGTTTACTCACTACATACTTCACCTATAAGACATTGCACCAGTGCAACCACCACCAGAATGGCTTCTATGAGCTAACATTAGAAACATAGTTCGCTCTCAAAAAAGTGAAATGCAGGAATGTGACAAAGCTGGTCCAAGAAAAATGCACAACAAGATTACTAGTAATCCTTGCAACAAACCATGCAGCTGACAAAACGTCACTTTCCAATGTTCTTCCACAGCTAGAAATGACACATCTTCACAAGGCAAAAGCTTACTGTATGGCCAACAATATGCAGATTGGTCTCTGAATGGGGAAAGAAAAAGTTAGTTTGGAGGGTGCCTCCTATAACCACTGGTACTTCAAAAAGAGTTGAAAGTCTTTCCAATAGCTAATCATTGCTAAATAGTTAAAAAAATTACTAAGCCTCCTTAATTGTTTTAATACAACAGTGAAACTGCAACAAAAATAATAAAAGTATAGTAAATGTACTGTAATCGGACATTTTGAATTCTGACATTATATTAGCATTTCAGCTGATTGTGTTAATTTAGCTTTTGAAAACGTACTTCCTTTTACAATCTAGTGGAAAACGAGATTGGAAGAGTCGCTTCCAGGTAATCATCAGGCTTAAATACTTTACAATACAATGAAGCATACCACAGATTTCATGACATGACCATAAAAATTATTTTTAAAAGGGTTGGGTTTTTTTTCTTTATGTTGTCTGGAGTTAGATAAAGTTGTCCAGCCTGAACAAATGGCAGTGTCGAGGCATAGCCCTACAACACCTATTTCTCCATGCAATGCAGCTGAAGATCACAAAGTGTTTTCAGCTACCTGAATCACCGGTGTTCAAGAAATGAGGTCTGCTCGGTTGCAATTTTTGTTCGGAATTTTTACTATTTTTAAGGATGGCAAAACTGGGGTGACAAAGAGGCACTCCCAGTGACTGAATGCTGTTCACTTATTTGAGTCTTTGCCTGCACCGGTACAACAGTGTCCTGAAATTCAAACAGTCTGAGGACGAATGGGCTGAGGGGTGCCTTGTGTGCCCCACTGAAGTAACCACTGCAACTAAGAAATAACGACAAATTCTTTGGTCCAGTACGTCACTTTCACCTAGAAACAGAGGCTGGACACAGTAGAAAAATGGGAAGGGATTTCCCGGAACGACGGGAAATGTTCTCTAAAGCACCTGATTTCACCACCTAACTCCAGCAACGGAAACCGCCTTAACCCGAATCAGCCATGTTCTCGGGGGGGGGGGGGCGATTTTCCACGGCTTTACCTCTGTCAACAACTGACTACACCTCAAGCAACGCCCAGCTCGGCACGGTACGACACCGGCACCGCGGTGCCCGCCGCACCGGCTACTGCCGCTACTTCACCAGCACGGGTCGCAGCGTTAGCGCACGGCTCAAAAACACCCCCTGAAAAGTAGCGCAAGCGATTACAAACACCGTTGTTAGCTACCGGAAAAAAAAAAAAAAAAGGTCTGTTATCGCCCAGGTCGCCCACCGGGACGATGAGCCCTGTGGGACACCCCCACCCCCCAACGGCCCGCCCGTACCTACCCGCCGCCTCCCGGCACCGCCGCGGATCCCAGCTGCCTACAGAGACAATGAGCCGCTTTCAGACGTGGCCGAGGCGCCGGAGCGGCGGGAGGAGCCCGGGAAGGAGCCGATCCGCCCCGCACCCGGCGCATCCCTGGGCAAAGGCGCAGCCC